TAAGAAACACCCAACAACCATTTTGTCTTAGTTTTACACCAGCCAGAAAAAGTAGAAATAATACTGGAGAGCTTAAAAATTTTCGAACATTTCATTTAGTCTCCCATGAAACTTTGTCATCTTTAACATTGCACACGATTTTTATAGTGTTTGGAACAAACTGGGAGAGCTTGAAAAGTTTCGAACCTCTCATTTAGTCTCTCATGAAACTTTGTCATCTTTAACATTGCACCCAATTTTAATAGTGTTTGGAAAAAACTGGCAGAGCTTGAAAAGTTTCAAACTTTTCATTTAGTCTCTCATGAAACTTTGTCATCTTTAACATTGCACCCGATTTTTTTAGTTTTTGGAACAAACAGGCAGATCTTGAAAAGTTTCGAATCTTTCATTTAGTCTCTCATGAAACTTTGTCATCTTCAATCTTGCACCCGAATTTTTATAGCGATTGAAGCAAAACTTTTTCAACCTTTAGCTTTGCAATCAGAAGTAGTTAGCAGTTATTACTTAGTAAGAATCAAAATTACAATCACTAGCAAGCTCGTCTCGAATAATCAATCGGTTCGCAAAAAATTAAATACTGTTCTGATCAAATTATTCAAGCAATGAAAGTTTGATCAGTTTCAATTTAGCCATATCGTGAATCGGTTCGGAAAATGTTCTATTTCAAAGAACGAATCGGTTCGCAAAACTTTAAAGTTTTTTTTGTAAAATTTTCCACCAATAAAGCTTCGAAAAAATTCAATTCTATCAATTCATGAAGCGATTCGGATCGCAAAAGTTTTCTATTAAGCCATTCAAGCAATGAAGCGTAGAAATAATTAAAGTGGGTTTTTTTACAGAAAAATTTTTCGAATCTCATATTTTTTCAGTGGAAGCGATTCAAGCAACCTATTTTTGATCAGTCTCAAGTTTAATCATATCGTACAAAATTAATTCGGTGGGATAAAAACTGATGTTTTTCTAAGCATGATATTCCAGCAAAAAAAACTTCGTAAGATTTCAAAACCATCAAAGACGCAATTCGGATGCATTAGGTTTTTTAGACTGAAATCATTCTAGCAATAAAACTTTATAAAATTTTCGTTTTTGCAAAATTTTGAAGTTGTTCGGGGAAAACTATTCCAGCAATAAAACTTTCATCAAAATCAAATTTAACCATATTGTACAAGGTTAAATCGGAGCAAGAAAATTGATGTTATTCAATGTTTTTTGCTTGATATTCCAAGTAAAAATTTCAAAATAACCATTCAAAATAACCCAAGAAAGAATTCGGATAGCAAAAAATTTAAGCTTTTCTATTGAAGCCATTCAAGCTTACAAACTTTGAAATAACTCAAGTTGTTTGTTTGACTAAATCATTAATTTTATTTTTTTTTCAGTGGAAGTTGGGCAAGCAACAAATTTTCGATCAGTCTCAAGTTCAGCCATATCGTAACAGATTAAATCAGTGCGAGAAAAATTGATGTTTTTCTAAGCATGGGGTTCCTGAAAAAAAAACGTCGAAATATTTCAAAATAATTCATGAAGCAATTCGGATGCAAAAAAGTAAAGCTTTACAGTAAAAAATTCAAGCAATGAAACTTTGAAATCAATTCAAAAACTTGTTCATATCAAAAACATGTTCAATTTCAAAGAAAAAAGCGGTCCGCAAAAAACTGATGTTTTAAGCGAGAAATTCCATTAAAAAATCCCGAAGTATTTTAGGTTAATTCATGAAGCAATTCAAAGGGCAAAAAATTTTTTTTTCTTTTGATGAACAAGCTTAAATTGTTTTGCGCAAATTTAAAAAATTTCAATGGGAGTTATTCAAGCAGTAAACATTCGATCAATTTCAAGTTCAGCCATATCGTAAATCGATTTCGCAAGTGTAGAATTTCGAAGAATAAGTCATTTTGAGAAAAAGGTGTACTTTTAAGCAAGATGTTCCAGCAAAAAAAACTTTGAAACGTTCCATTGAAGCCATTCCAGCTGTAAAATTTTGAAATTGTTTCGTAGATCGAATCAATTTATGAATTTAAAGTTTTTGTAAGCGAAGTCTCCAAGCTGTTAAGTTATTAAAATTTCAAATTATAATTATTTCATAGAAGGAATCAGTTTGCAGGAAAAACTTAGTTTTTTGGCAAGCTATTCACTCAATGTTATGTTATTTCGTAGACCAAATAATTTTGTGAAAATTCTAATCTTTTCCAAGCGATGTCTTCAAGCTATGAAAATTTGTAATATTTCAAGTTCCTTTAACGACTGTCTCGGTTCGCGAAAAGTTTCAATTTTCTAAGCAAGCTACTCCAGCTGTGAAAATTTGTATTATTTCAAATTATATCGTAGACCGAATCGATTCGCAAAATTTTAAGTTTCTCTAAGCAAGCTATAAACGCAATTGAATACTTCAAGTAATTTCGTGGACCAAATCTGTTCGCAAAAACATGAAGTTTTTTTAAGCAAACTTTTCAAGCTATGAAATTTAAAAAATTTCAAGTGATTTCAAAGACTGATTTGGTTCGCAAAAATTTAGATTTTCTAAGCATGGAGGTTGGTGTTTTTAGTTGATTCATTTCAATTTTTAACTTATCTGTTAACGCAAACTTTGGAACAAAAAGTGGGCAGGTACTGTCTAGCCCTGAAGTTGAATCTAATTCATCTTGTGTAAAGGGTTTTGGACTTTTTCAAACGTTGTGCTCGGTGTAAAAGTTAAAACGAACGTTGCATTCATAGCGCATTAAAACTTTATTGTTCCGACCTTCAAGAAAACGAAATATTTATGCTTGGTTTGTTTTTTATTCAGTCTTTTTTCGGAGATCAAAATAATAAATATTTAAAAAAAGTTTATAGCTGATGGAAGATATCAACTTCCTGAGTTGAAATGCAAAAATATACTTTATCTCCGATTTTTTTTTTGTAAAATTCCTGGAGTTTGAAACTTGCCAATTTGGCCATGTTCTGGACTAAATTATGCGCGCTTTAAAGATATTATCCTTAGAGCATAACGTTCTAAGTTGTTTATTAGTGGCAAATTATCCTGCAAAACAAAATCAGTCCAAATTGAATTGAGGATAACTAATTGGACCTGTTAATTTTGTACGACTCAAATTTCTGCACCTGATCTTTTCTATTGGCAAAGTTCTATAGATTTTATTTTCCTTTCCCAAAGATCTATTCGATATAGATCGATGGTCAGTCGGAACATTCAGGGGTTTGCCCTGATATAAGAGCAGTCTTGTTTAATATACGAGATTAAGGCTAAATTTTTACTTTCTACGTTTGCCGTTGAGCTGTTGCACAAAAATCGGAGGCACCGTATCCTTTCAAATTCAGGCAGAAGAGTTAAAATGTAGTTTGAACCATTTTTGCATTATTAGAACAAGTTTTTCGGGGGCTAAGAGAGTTCTTCAAATTTTTCCTAGCTCAATTCGCTTTTATCGGAGAATTCAACACGGAGAACTGCATGCCTCACAGTATTTCCGGTTCTCTCGTGCTTGGCGTTCTTCTAGCATTGAGTTATTTTCAACTGGCTGCTTGCAAAAATACATAATTTCAAACAAAATTTCAACCAGTGCTTCCAAAAAAAAAACAAATTGGTTGTCAAATGTTTTTTCACTGATTTTTGAAAAAATGTTAGAAAAAAATATCGTTGGAATTATTGAGTCCGGGTTTTTTTTAATCTCTCCCCTGTATTGTTCTCGTCTGAGTGTCTCATGAGATAGAAACAAAGAATTGTGGCTGAATTTTGTCGTCCTATTTTTTAGTTTTGAGACATGGTCTACCAAACAGTGGTCTATAAAACTCTTTATATTTTTCCAGGTTGAGGTGATCTCACATCACACTTTGTATTGACCGTATCAATCGAAATTCGGCTTATTCAACCGTGTCGCCGTTTTTTGTAGGCGTTGACCGCCTGGATTAAAATCAGGTGCATTACAATTTCAATTGACATTAATTTTATGAAATTAAAAATTATAATTTACATGCTTTCCGGAAAGTATCAGTTTTGCTTTGTAGAGATAACTAACTTTTTGATCTTATCAAGTTTTTTTCCATTTTATCAGTTCTTTGTACTACAATTTGCGTGAAAAATGGTTAAAAGGGTTGGTATTTAAAAAGAATATGGCAAGTTTCTCCCCAAACTTGTTTCGCCCCTTTTGAATTTAGTGACACATTTTGCCCCTAAAGTTTCAAACATTTCGTCCTCGCCACATTTCGCCCCTAATTTATTACACAGTTAATTAACCGCAGCTTTCTTAAATTGCGACTTGAGGGGCAAAATGTGCGTGGGGCGAAATGTGTGTGGGGTGAAATATGTGTGGGGCGAAATGTGTGTGGGGTGAAATGTGTGAACAACATTTGAAAAGAAATGTTTAACCGCGGAAGAATCGTGCTCGAGGTTTGTTTCGACCCAACTGAAAATAAATTTGGACCGTGATCGAGGTATGTTTCGACTGTGCTCTATGGTTGTTTCGAGTTTGTGCTGGACGCAAAACTTTGTCTAGGCCATTTTTTGGGTCGAACACGGAAGTTGTGCTCGACATTGAAAGCCGAAACATAAACAGAGCCAGGGGCGGTTCTAGGATTTTCTCGAGGGGGGATTTCAAAAATTTTGTCGACCTTTCTTTTTTGACCAAAAACTTTGCGCTGCAGGCAAGTTTTTGAAAAAACAGGTAGAAAAAGCCGTTTTTGGGCACTTTTTGGCGCTCCTCTTTAAAAATAGTTTATATTGGCGCCAAAGTCGCCTTCACAAAAATTTTAGCGTTGGTGAGCCTAAAATGGACGTCATAAAATAATACCAAAGGGGTACCCTTTAGGTGCTGAGAGGGTCAAATCCCTGAAGAAGAACGTCCGCCCCGCCCCCTTAATCCGCCCCTGAACAGAGCATCTCGATCTAAGCTGCTCACTACAGTCAAGAAACAACAGTCTAGTTACTATTTAGGAGTTCGCAAAGCACAAAACACATTATTTGCATTAAATTTTATTGATTGCACTCATGCTCACAGAATCGAATCAAATCCCAATTTAACCCTATTCCCAAGTGAGTGATCCATTTCAAGTCCGCAACCTTCTTTCGCCATTTAATGTGAAGCAGGCCATTTGTCGATCTAGTTTTCTGCAAAGACAATTGAGTGACTTTTGTAACAGAATGTTTGCGCCAGCAGATTTGTAATTTGTACGTTCCTCTTTAATTCCTCATAAAATGAAGAACAAGTTGAACTAAATCTGCTCTCGCATCATTCTGTTCGCATTGGCATTGTCGTCCGTTGAGTCAAAATTGTCGTGTCCGTTTTTCGTCGATACTTCAGATTGTATAGGAGACTGAAACAAACCGATACTTAGAAAATGATATAATAATTATAAAAATCGTAGTCAACGGACAATTGGAAAAATGTCAAATAAATCAAAGAAACGAATGATTCTTTTTTTTCCCGATAAAATAACCGAGTCTGAAGAAACTGGATCAATAGGTAATTTTTCAGTCCGTTGGGAAATCTAGAAACTAAAACTTAAACACAAAAATTTGAAAAGTCTTCTTAAAAAACAAACAATAAACTGATTTGTTTTGAATAGATCCTCTATTTAGAGGCGAATCATTAACAAGTACTCAAAGCACTGGTAAAATAAAAACACTGAGAACTTGAAATTTTTTTTGTAATTTTTTGGTTGATGTCATAGTTGTTCCGACCATTGAAAATGTGGAGGAACTTTGTATTCGGGCGTGTTTTAGTTTTTATTTTTTCAACGCAAAATCAGGTACGAAAATAATCGTCGGATTGGATTCAGTGGCATATTATATCGGAACTTTTTCAGTAGTGATTCAAACGACGTAACAAAATTTCAAAAAGTTGTCCCAATATTGAAAAAAAAACATATTAAAATTTTTTGATTTTTAGTCTAAACTCGAGCAAATTAAGTGAGTGAGCAGGCTTACAATGGCTTATTTATGCTTATTTTCAGCCGTAAAAACCTAGTTGGTTTTTGTTTTTTTTAGCGCCATTAAGGAAAATTTTTTTAAAAAGTTTGAAAAGTAGTTTTATTTTTTTTGTTTTTCTAGTCAATTTTCTGCAAAAACTGTTGTCCAAATTGCCTATTTTACTATGACTGTCGAGTCTGTCTAAGTTCCAGTTTTTCGTTCAGATCTTTTCATCACACCACGCAGAAAAAGAACGACGCTAAATTGAAAAAAAAACTTTTGTTATGGTCGGAGCATCCTTGCTACTTTTTCGAAATATAAGCAAGAAAGTTTCAAAAATTTATCCTAGAAAGCGCTGCTTAAAATTTAAATTTATCGACCATGGCTGAATTACTAGTGGATATAAGTAAGCATCTAGCAGATCCTAAGCTTCAAATGAACAGTTGCATCTCCTGACTGGTCATGTTCAGTTCATTGAAGCCTGGAACGAAAAGAGTGCAATAGTGAGTCCACCTTGGCCATTTTAAAACCATCATAAATGTACGAGAAGTTATTGTACGTTTTAAAAATTGCCAAACTTTTGTTCAGTGAATCAACAGTGAATGGCACATCCAACTTAAATAAATAATTAACCTGTCGGTACAAAAAAAAATGATTTCTCCGAAAAACTATCGTACGCGCATTCTTTTCAAAATTTCATGAAATAAAACTCTTGAAATTTTTAAACATACCTCTCAAACAGGACTACCCTTAGTCCCTGGGTCACAGTCGCGACACTCGCAATTAGTGGCAGTCGGAACCGAGAACGTCTCCATGGATCCATCGTCACATGATATCTTCCTCTTTATCAGAACCATGTCGCCAGTACAACACTTGCACTCTGTCTTCAGAGTCCACTGCTCCTTTCCAGCCTGGATGCTGAAGTAGAGGTCACCCGGGTCGACTGAAGGGTCTCCGAGAGACATAGGCGATGCTCCCGAGGGTCCGCAGCTTCCGGAACACTTGTTGATCGTGACGTTCCGTTCTCCACAGTACGACGCTAAAGTATAAAATGTGAACAAGAGAAAAGCAAAAACATCATCATGTCAGCAAGCGATTCAATAAACAATTGTTATCAGAGATCCGCTATTTTTCTGATTATTGTTGTTCCGACTGCATCGCAAAATGACCGAAGGACAAAGCATTTCTTTCGCTCAATTTTAGAGGGACTAGGAATTTAGACAAAAAGCAAATTAGACGAGACCAAAACAAAAACAATCTTTAACCTCGAGTCACAGAAACAATCTTTAACCTCGAGTCAAAATTGCAATTATGGGAAATTATGAAGGAACTAAAAAATTACAGAATTAGAAAATAGAAAAATTGCACAGAGTATATCAATTTAGTAATAAAGCTTAAGACATTTGAGACATTATTTTAAGAATTTGATTTTTTCAGTTTCTACCAATGGTGGGAAAAAATTTAGACTAGGAATCCTTTAAATGAAAAATTTTTGCCCAAGAAATCAAAATAAATGTACAAAATTCAAGAAAGTTTCTATCCAATTGCCAAATAACGTTTTGAAAGCAAAAAGTTTCTATCTCAAGTAATTGAAGAGAAAGCAAGAAAGTGATGAACCTATTCTGTTTGAAGCTATTTTGATGAAGCTATGTTGCTTGTTAATTTAAAAAAGTAAAGTTGAAAAGGTGCAACTGACCAGAGAAACTTTTCGAAGAAAAATCATTGTTTTCGTCCCGAGAGTTTGAAAATGGGAAGGAACTTTGGATTTGGAAGTGTTTTTGTTTTTTTCTCGCAAAATCAGGTACCACAAATAATTATCAGAATGGGTCGAGTGATAGATCATTTTAAATCCCTTTTAGCCGTGATTAAACCTTTTCAGCTGTCATAGTAATTTTTCCCAGTGTCGAGAAGAACCGGTTTAAAAATTGCGAGTTTCACTGTGATTTCGAGTGAGTAAAGCGATCGAGCCACGTCGTTGCCTAAAAATTTTAGGCTACAGAAAAAAGATATTTTATAAAAACGAAAATTATTTTGCTCTTCCGTGGCAAAAGATTAGTTCAATTTTTTAATTTTTTTTTCCATTTGCTTATACAAATGATGTGGTTTATGTCACATCTTATTAATTTTTACACGTTCTTACAGTTTTTTTGTCATATTGCGCACAAATAACAATTTCAGTTTGAAAAAATGAAAATAATTCTTTTATTGCAGTTTTTTATGAAGATGGTCGGAGCATTCTTGTTCAATGGAATTTGTATCTGGCTACAACTCTCGTTGGATTTTTTTATTCAACAGTGTTTGAGAGAATTAACTCTCTACTAAAACTAACCCACTATTAGAAAGCTGGATTATCAAGTTTTTTTTCTGATGGATACTTCCGATGGAAAATTAAAAAAACGTTTTTGAAAATAAAGGTCAGTCGCATTTTTTGTCGTTTGAGCGAATTAGCACTCCGTATAGCAATTAAATTTATCAAAAAAACTTGAAAAAATACAGCCAATAGACATATGGAGAAGAAACAATAAAATAAAGGGCTCCAAAAAAACTTAAAATTTGATTTTTTTGAACTTTTTATTTCTTTCGATTTTAAAAAAACTAGATCTAGAGAAACTTTTATAAAGAGAACTTTTTATGCACAAACAATTAGAGAAAATCATATTTCAGAAAATTTTTGAATCCACAGAGTAATTCTAAAAATTGAATACCATTTTCAAAACAAGAAGTCACTCGCGTATTTTTCGCGCCACTGTCATTTTCTTTACAGGAAAGCGTAATTTGTTTATACTTATCAAGTGGAACTCATAATTGGACTTATCTAGAAAACAAACACAAAACGAAAAAAATTAGGACGAACAATTTTTGAGATTTTTTCCCAAGAGAAGAAAAACATAAGAAAATCGCTAAAATTAAATAAATTCTTCACTTTTAAATGCCGAATCTCGAATAAACCAAGTTATAAGAAAAGTAAAACACATTATAATAGTAAAAAACTGTAAAATTGACAACATGTAAGCTAGAGCAAGAGCAAGACGATATTTTTGAAATGAACAAAAAAATCTGTGGGGCCGAAATAAGTGAAAACTCGCCACCATCTTCAACACTTGAAAAGCATCTTACAGATTTATTGTTTGTTTTTAGTGATTAGAGAAAGTGAAGTACTAACAGTCGGTCTTAGTGAGGTTGACAGTGAGACAGAGTTCTTCTGATCGGCAGGCCTTCTTCTCACACCTTCCACAGCAGTTCTGTCCCTCCGCCTCCGCGTCGTCCGAGGGGGGGATGTAATCTTCCTGGATCAGATAAGTGGAAAAACATGAAAATGCAAATAATTTATGTTTTTTTTTAATCTGGACATCGAAAAACTTGTTTAATCTAAAATTTTCTATTTTTTTTTTTTGAAAAACCCGCATCCTCGAGAGCATTCTAAGTCACCGCCTGCGTCAAGGTATTTATACCAAATTACTCCACTCAGGGATATGTGAACATAAAAATGTAAAACAGAGATGCATATTTCTTGTTCACATCTTCGTTGCAGTGGTGTGGTCCCGATGGTCCCTCGTCACACCTCAGTTCTAGTTTGGTGGAATTGTCCACACAGATGGTCTGGTAGCACTTGGAGGAATCCACCACGTCATTGTTCCTGACAACACATTCATCACAATTAAGATTTTAAAAAAGTGAATCTTCCTGACTTAAATGCAGAACAAAATTTTGTATCTTAAAAAGGAGTGCATCAATCTATCTCTCTAATTTTTTCGTGCATTGAAAAAATCGAATTTTAATATCAGCGCAATAAATTTTTGATGTATTAAATTTTTGAAGTAAAAACTTTTTTCGGAAAAACCATCCGAGTTAAAAGCCCAACTTTCGTTGCAATTTTTCCTTGTGTCGATTGGTTTCGATCATCACAGTTCAGTTGCTCTCTCGACGAAATGAAAAAGGGACAACCTGACATGGAATAATACTACCTATGCTATAAAGTTAATTGGGTTGAAATAGTACATACTATTGTTGTGTGGTATACTATTTTGGGCCACCTTCATGAAAAAGTACAAAAAGTTAGTTCCCTGAAATGGTGGGGCGACAATTCGTAACAAGCGACAATTCGTAACAAGCAACAATTCGTAGCAGGCGACAATTCGTAACAAGGCATTGGCAAGTAGAATACGCTTGCTCCGCTTCGCTCCGCTTGGCTTACACCCAGCACGAGAGAAATTCTGCGCGTGAATCAGTGTTCCCCGCTTAATCTACTGTTACGAATTGTCGCTCGTTACGAATTGTCGCCTCACGCCCTGAAATTAAAACATAGATTGCTGTGTGATGTGTGGCTTGCCTGTATTGAGTGCCGTTGTACATGCACACATCACAAGTGGCAGTGTCCTCGTCACACAACTCTTCCTGATACTCTCCCCCGTCACACTCTCTGCCTCCATAGTTACCGTGCGTCAGGATACACCTGTGAAAACAGATTTGATGATTGTTTAAATCCCCATAGTTTTTTTTGTGTCGACCACCTCCTAAGAACTGTTTTTTTTGTCAATTTGACTACCTAACTTTATGCAAATTACCTTATCAAGTGTGTTATCACATTTACTTCCTATAAGCCGTGGTTGGACTGAAGAAAAAGTCGTGACTTGGACAAAATTTGATGAGAATCTGAATTCACCGTTTAGTTTATGCTTATTTTTAGGTTGTTTTGGCACTTAGTATCTCTCATTCTTGCAGTTAGATTTACCTAACTCGTTAATTTTTTAGAATTCAACGGTGTATTTAGAATAAAATTAAGTGTTTGAAAAATGATTTATAAACATGTCTATTTCCTTTTAAATTATTCTTTATTTTTCATACATCAGCAAGCGTTATCAAACCGGAATATAGACTTTTTTGGGTGAAAAACTGTTTAACAGAATCACTTGTAGCTTAGTTCATAAGGAATGGAGGTTACGAAAATGCATAGGACGTCAAAGATCCTGGGTTGGAATCTGACCAGGACCTGTTTTTTTCTAAATTTTTTCTGCTTATCTGTTGTTGGCTTAGTTGTCACAATTTGGAACTTTTTTTTGCTGCTCGCGTTTTTTTAATGTTGCTTTTAGTGTTTGGTTTACTCCCACAATTTTGATTTCGTACCGTGACTTCGTATTTCTATTTTTTTTCCTTTTGTTCCTTTCGTTCCTTTTTTGTACAAAATAAATCCTCGGCCTCAATTGTTTCGGCCCGTTTTTTTATCAGCCTAATGACATACTTTTGAGTCGTTCCTATAGAAACACAACACTCACCTAGGCATTTTTCAGGTTGGTTGTATGTTTACTAATAGGTTTGTTATATGTTTACCCATCAGTTTTTTCTTTTTCGTTATGGACAAATATTTCGAAATTTATTGGAAAAATTAGTTTTTAGTTTTTCTCAAAAATTTCTTCTGATTTTCGAAAATAGTATCAATAAAGACCGTCTACTCCGGTGTGCCTGCATTATCCCTTAGAGTATCCTTTCACTTGACCCCTCTGTATACAGCCTTCGAAAGTCTGTGGGGAATGTTCGACCCATATTTTTGTGATTTTTTTTGCTTTTTCGGTAACTACGCTTCTCAAATCTGAGTTTTTTTGTTTCAAAAGAAGAGAAGGATTTGAAAAAGCTTTCTGCATAAGCGGCTTCGCCAAATTTTTTTAAAACAAAGTTATGACCCTCGGAATAATCAAATTTTAGATTTTTGACCGTTTTGTGAATCTTTTTGATATTTCTCGAAAACTAAAACTCAAATCTGGTGTTGTGGGTTCAAGGAAGATAATGAGAAGTGGAAGCTCCCCTGCATTAGCAGCCACTCACAGAGTTTCTTACACAAAAAAATCTTGCCCTCCGAAAATTCAATTTTTTGATTTCTAGCCAATTTAAATTTTTGATTATTCTTCAAAACTACCCTGCCATATCTGTGATGTTGTGTTTAATTTAAAAAACGAGTTGTGAGAAGTTCATTTGCTTATGCTACTACGCCCTTTTGTTTCTGACACTAGAAGTTATGGCCCTCAAAAGTCAAATCTGAGAACTACCCTCCCAAATCTGAGGTTTTCGGTTCAACCGAAATTAATCTTCCGTCAATCTCTTCTGCATAACCATCTATGCACCACTTTTTCACGCAAAAATCGATGATTCTCGGAAATTCCAAAGTTTTGATTTGTTGACCGTTTTTTGGAATTTTCTCGCTAACTATCCTGCCAAATCTGACATCATAGGTTTAATCGAAACAACAGCTTCTTCGAAGCCTTGCTTTATAATTGGATACGCCAAGTTTTTTTTTTTTAAATATGGCCTTCAAACAAGTCAAACTTTTGAAACTTTGGCGGTTTTCTGGAAACTTTTTGATTTTACACGAAAACTACCGTGCCAATTCTCAGGTTGTGTTCAATTAAGAGACCCGGTTTTGGGAGTTTTCTATGCTCATGTGGACGCAAACTAATTTCACAGAAAAAAATCTATAGATTTTGAAAATTGTTTGACCGTTTTTTAGAACTTTTTGAGTTTTCTTGTAAATTTTTTTAATCTTCTCTCTTATTTTAGTTGAGAAACAAATAAGGTTTTGGGCAAGCCCAATTTTTAAAATCACATTTTGTGCCACATCATTATAGCAATTTCATTCAATGCCATACACGTATCTCCAGTTTTAGCTGGTCTCCAAGGTGTTTTTTATCGAGACATACAAAATCTTTGGTTCGCCTCATTTTTTTCAACAATTTGGTTTTTTGTCGACTGTTTGTTGAATGTGTTTTATCGCAAGCTATGTTGGGTAATTATATGAATGTTCAGTGCTACTCGCACACAGCAACCAGCGATCCTTGTTTGTGCAAAATAGTATTTTTCTCAACTAATAGAATAGTAAGGGCCAGCGTCGAGGTGACAAATCGATGGATGAGGCTGAACGTTGCCGGAGTTACCTCAATAGGATCCAAATATTTGAAAAAAAAAAATGATTTGCAGAATGCTTCGTCACGAATCATGCGATTCTTCCGCAATTTGTTTTTTCAAGTTGCATGTTTATACTCGGGTTCCAGTATCATAAATCCCTTGTAGAATATATCCCTTCAACATCATGGCTTTTTATTGATAGTTTGTTTTGAAATCGTAATTCAAGACGGGTTATTCGTCAAAGTTTGTGCTAAACATTTTTTTGCAAACCGTATTTACTTCTCAATGACTTAGTGACACTCAATTCCCAAAAAATTCCCGATATCTAGTCCCAATCTTGAATGAGATTCATAAGTAAAGTTATTCCTAAAATCGCGCTTTTGTTCTTTCTTCATTACAAAAAAAAAACAAAAAAAGAATTACTGAAAAAAGTATGCATGAGGCCTTGAAATCCCAAACGATGTAAAAACTGATTCTTTTTTATAAAAAATATTTGAAAAAGTTGGGCAACTTAGTCCGCCCAGCCATTTGCCACAATAATACTGTTGTCAAATACTGTGGGTGTGAGCGTTTAGTGGTCTGTGGGTGGTGGATGGGAGGGAGGCGTAGAGGAAGTTAGGTAGGAGGGGTGGGGGCACTGGCCTGTTTCTGGATCGTCTGCACTGGCTGTCACACATGGTCCACTCACTCCACTCTGTGGCCGCACAATCTTCTGGACAGTTGCCCTCACACTCCAGCTGGCCATCCACACAAGAACTACAACACAACACACAACAGAGCATAACGAATACAATGTCATCATCAGTATCTGATATATATTGATGATGATTATTTAATCAGGTACAAAGTATAGTAAGAAACAGAGTAATCAGTGATTACATTTATGATTAAGATTGAAACACATCCATTGCATTGCAATTGGTAGTGTGCGCAGGGGTTCTATATATCCCTCAATTCTGGTCGCCATTTTGAGGGCAAAAATTTTCGAATTTTACACTGATTTTAAGTGGGGTAGCGCACGCTGACAAAAAACGCCCATTTTTGGTCGAAATCTATTCAAAAAATATGAATAATGGTACTTTCTTCCAAAAATTGCCTGTTTTAAGTTTTAAAAATATGATGACTTTAAGGTTTCGGTAGAGCATGAAAAACTCGAAATGGCTGGCCTAAAAAATTCGAGCTTTTAAAATTGACATCGAGCTTTAAAAAATTCCAACCCCGTCAAAAAATTTCTGCTCAAGCCAGAAAGTTTTTCCAAATTGTAATGAAAATGAAAATGTATTGGAATAGCATGGGTAAAATAGGATCAGAAACGTACCATTGTCTTTCGGGACAGCACGTGGAGGCGTTGGCGGCGCCATTCTCAATGTACGAGTCACAGACGAAGTCGTAGCACGAACATGCCTCTGGAACAACACACTCCTCGGCCACGACGTCCAGCACAGTGCCACTGGGACATACACACCCTGGCTCGCACTCGCTGTCATCGTCGTTGCAGCTCTCTGGTGACGTCAGACTCATGCACGTCATGCTGCACTGGTTTGCACAGGACGAGAAGGTAGTTCCAGGAATCACTCCGCCTGCACAAAAAGTGCATAAAAGTTAATGAATTATAAGTCGGACTGTTATAGAATTGTATTTTATTATGTGTTTTTTTTTTAATCTGATAAAACCAATATATTCTTTTGATTAATTTATCATAGTTATTTTTTTTGACATTTGATTCGGAAGCTGATCAAAATCACAAAATCACATGTGTCGTAAAATCTTAGAAAATATTGTTCCGAATATGAAAATGGGGAGGAGTTTTGTATTCGGATGTGTTTTAGTTTTTTCTTTTTTTCCATGCACAATCAGGTACCGCAAATAATCATCAGAATGGGTCGAGCGATATACCACACAACAGAGGCGAAGCTGAGCTTCGCACCAGTTGCGATGTAACAATTAGTGCATCATGACGCTAAAAAATAGCAAACAGAACTTCGAACGATGTTACAATTGAAGAAGGAAGTGGAAAAACGAGAAAAAAAATTAAGAAACAAAAAAAGCTTATTTTTCGTTTTTGAATTAATTTAAGTTTTTCAAAGAGATTCTAATGGGGTTGAAGTTGGACATTCAAAAATTGGTGCCGGAGACTAACTGATGTCAAAAGTACTACTGGACAATTTAAGGAAAAAATCGGTAAATAAACCGGCAGAGTTGAAAAAACTGTTTTAAAATGTTTGCGTTTTAGTCAAGTTTCGAGCGAGTAAAGCGGTCGTGTAACGTTCGATCTATATAAAAATAAACAATTTAGGCTAGAAAAACTTGATTTAGCTAAAAGAAAAACAGATTTTGCAAGCTTCTGTTAGCGGCAAAAAAAAACGCTCAAAAATATTTAGAATTTCAAGTGCAAAAATTGAATCACACGCAAGCGTAAAAAAAATAATTTTTTTTTGAATTTTTTTTGCATTTTTGTTGATTTATTTTGTGAAGACTATTACTGTCGTTCTTGCCTAATTCACTAAATTTTTACGCTTTCGTGTAACTTTATCATCACACGAAGCACAAAGCACAAGAAAAGAAACTAATTTGAAAAAAAAAGGAAAACTTGATTTTCAGGTTTTTTATTCGGTTTTCTTTATCATAATTTTTCTGGAATTTGGAAAAAGTTTTGTTAGTAAATGGAATTTTATATTCACGCTCGAAAAGATCAGAATAGAAAATGGCTAAAATGCTACAAAAAAAAACCGGACAAGGCGTACAGTTGTTGTCGGTTTGATTCGGGGAAGCGATGTTACACAGCTCAGTGTCCATAGTGCACTCTCTGAACTGTTGGTTGGGTCCGGAGCAGAAGTCGTTGTTTCCATAAGTCTCCAAGGCAGGGTCACTGCAACTCCTCGATCTGGTCTGTCTTCCAATGGTGCCACAAGATACACAGTCACAGCCGCTCCAACCACTCCAAGAAGCCCACTCTGTAATGAGGGAAACACTTTGAAAAATTCAGCAGATAATAATGTAGTTCACTGAAAGTGGGAAGTAACTTGTATTCGGATGTTATTCTTCGACGCAAGGTCAGGTACTACAAAAAATGATCATTAGATGGCGTTAAGTGATTAATAATATTAAAGCCCTTCCAGTCGTGGTTTGATCAATGTCAAAAGTAGTTCAAAGTTGTCGGTCAGTGTAACGCTACTGGGAAAAACTGAATCAGTCTACATCATTGCTAAGTGACGCAAGCCACTTATGATGCATTATCAGTACCAGTCAATTTGAAAAAAAAAAGAAATTTACAATTTAACATACCTCAAATTATAAAGCGGACGCATTATAACTAAAATACGAAAAAGTTCATTAAAAGCGTCCGACCTTGCCTAAGTTTGAACCCTCTTATTTTGTTGCTGGTCTCCTTCCCTACATCTACGCTACAAATCCTTGATACCTTGAAGCTTAGGTGCTATTTCTAATGTAATAATTGGTGTTAAAATCCTTAGTATTGGCTGTACTTAATAACTGGCTATTGTTCCGTCTTTAGAAGAAAACGGAATATTTATGCTAGTTGTGGTTGGCTATTGTTCCGACTTTCGAAGACAACGGAATATTTATGCTCGGTGTGGTTTTTTTGTTCAGTCAATTTTCGCCGATCGAAATTATAGTTTTCAACAAAAACTTTTAATAGCCTATTGAAGATATCAACTTCTTGAAATCAAATTTAAAAAAATATTTCACCTCCGTGAATTTTTTTTAAAGTTCTGGCGGTTTACTAGGTATCTACACTAATTCTAATAGCCAGGGGCGGATCTAGGATTTTCTCGAGGGGGGTGGGATTTTCAAAAAAATTTCGAACACTTTTTTCGACCTTTTTTTTAAGTCGACCAAATTGATTTTCCGAGCTCTCCCAAAGCAGTAAAAAGACCCCCTTTTTTGGCGAAAATGTCTGTGCCGCAGGCAAAACTTTGAAAAAACAGGCCAAAAACAGGGTTTTATAGATGCCATCAAATATTTAAGAGACTTAATTACTTTCAAGTAGCTTCAATTATTTCAAAATTCCACCCAATTTTCAAACCTTAATGACTGTGAAAGCTTAGATTCAAAAAATTTTTAAAAATTTTTTCCAATTTCTTTCCATCTTCAAAGTAAACGTCTGAACTGTATTAGAAGAGGGCAAATATTTTGGTGACCTGGTTCGATGGTTTTCGTGTCGGGAACACATTCGCAGTTGGGTCCTTCTATCTTGTCGAACGAGTATCTACTCTGGTTCAGTCCGGCCAGTCCGTAGGTGACAAATCCCTCGTGGTAATCTCCCTGCTCCAGTGTCATGTTCAGCAACATGTACTCGCCAGGCATCAGCTGCAGAACAAGAGTTAACACTCCCATGCGATGAAGACGCAATGGTCAACTGGAGAGGAGGGGGGAGGGGAGGGGGAGGGAGGTTAGGGGAAAGGGAACTTGACTTTGGATTAGGGAGCACTGGATTTAAGCCTCTCCTTCAGGAGCTCCACCCCCATACCAACCAAACGGGTAACCCACTGCTGCATTTTATGGCGCCTATTTTTGCCAAACAACCCAGAAAAATTAGGGCAGTGCTCGGAACCTCCTGTACAATTTAGCCTCAGTCAACTACCCTTATTTAAAAGTAGTTCGAATTCTATACAGCCTGCGTGGTCTAATTTTTGAAACTTTGTACTTAGATAAGCCTGACAGATTGGTTTATGTTTCTTTGTTAGGGAATGATATCTCCACTCAAGATTATGAGTTTGTTGTAATTACCTCATATTCGACCTTGACCCCGTCCACGCATGTTGACTCATCTGTAGAAGGCGATTGGTCGAACCCAGTCGATGTGGAGTATTTGAGTGAGTTATCGAGAGATGAATAGACTTCGAAGCTGATGCTCACAGGTCCCGCACACTAAACACATTTGGGTTATACTTGATATCCTCCCCATAAAGCGATATAGAGCGACGATATTAACTTGGTTTTCAGCCAATCAAAATTGAGTATTCTACACGCAACGTTAAGCGATTGTTGACCCAACTAATTAGTGGGATGAATGATCCTAAATTGGTCTGCACAGAGAGATATATTTCGAGCAAAATGAGCCCAAATTGAGAAGTATTGACTCACCTCTCGTGCCACAGGTAAGCGCAGCGGAGCAAGCGGTCGATTTACTTACCAATCCCGTGCACTCCATAGTTTAATGTCTTCAGCTTAATTTCACTAAATTTTCTTTTATCCGGGAACAATTTTTTCGGCTATTCGAGTGACAAAACATCATAGGGGAGAGCAATTTATTGTTCCGACTTTCGATACGAAAGTAACGGAATATTTGTGCTCGGGGTGGGTTTTTTTTTCTTCAGACAAATTTCGACTTTTTAACTATAGCCATTTTTGACGGAATTTTTTATATCTTTCGAAAGCTATTGTTGTCTTGAGCTTAAATTTGAAAAGATAATTCACCTGTGATCATTTTTCGTAAAGTTATGAGCGTTTAAAGACTACCATTTTGGCCATTTAGACCAATTTGCGACAATTAACGCGCGATATAATTCGCGCTATTAATGCGTAAGCGGAGATTTAATCCGTCTTAGAAATCGTCCCAAATTGGTTGAAAGAAGCTTTAATTGCCATAATTGATTTGTTAGAAGGAGCGGAATCTATTGTTGTTACGACTTTCGATAGGAAAGTAACGGAATATTTGTGCTCGGGGTGGGTTTTTTTTTCTTCAGACAAATTTCGACTTTTTAACTAGCCATTTTTGACGGAATTTTTTAATATCATTCAAAAGCTATTATTGTCCTGAGCTTAAATTTGAAAAGACATTTCACGTGTGACCATTTTTCGTTAAGTTATGGGGGTTTAAAGATTACCATTTTGGCCAATTTGGAACAATTAACGCGCGATATATTTCGCGCTCTTAACGCGTAAGCGGAGATTTAATCCGCCTTAGAAATCGTTCCAAATTGGTTCAAGAAAGCTTATATGCAATAATTGGTATAATAATAGGAGCAAAATTTATCTCTTTGTACTCTATATGGCGTGTGGGGGGATGGTTTTCATAAAAATTTTCAAATTTTAGAAAAAAAAATTTCATTTTATTTTATTATATTCAATTTTTTTTTGTTATTACTGCTCATGAAACCTCAAAAGGCAGTCGGAACATCCAGGGCTTCGCCCTGATACGAGCAGTCTTGTTTTGTACTTTATATGGCGTGTTATTTGTACTTTAAATAAAATGAAAAGTTTTTCATTTTATTTTAATTCATTCAGTTTTTTTATGTTGTTTATGTTATTACTGCTCCATAAACGTTAAAAGGCAGTCGGAACTTTCAGGGCTTCACCCTGATACGAGCATTTTTGTCTTGATTTAATATTTGAATAGAAAATGCCCCATTAGATGCGACCCGAGCCCAGCTTCGCGACCCGATGGTCTAAGCATACCAATTTCTCTTGAATAAATAACATGTCGTGGAATATATCTGGTAATTTAGCTTTCGTTAGCGGCCTATAACAAAAGTTGTTAAAAATTAGAAGGGGAATTGCAAAAAACATGGAGCAGATAATTTTTATTTAAAAAAGAATCTGCCGATCTTTAGCAAACCTCGCATGAAATCTTGAATCCAATTTTTGATGCTTATCATATGATAATAAATTCAATTTTCAATCTATGTATACATTATTTAACTGGCAATTCCCATATGTTTAAGAAGCCTTTTTCTTCACTTGTTCACATGTTCACTGTACTTAACTATTTAAATTGTTCTACACATATGGTAAATTTAAGAACGTCTTTTTGTTAATACAAACAAGACTGCTCGTTTCAGGCTGAAGCCTCGAATGTTCTGACTGCTTTTAAGGTCAATGGAGCAGTAATAAAATCAAACAAGACTGCTTGAATCAGGGCGAAGCCCTGAATGATTTGACTGCCTTTTAATGTTTAAGGAGCAGTAATAACCTATAAAAAGAAAATGTAATAAAAATGGAAAAATTTTTCTGAATTTTGAATTTTTTTTTGAAAATCATCCCCCCACACGCCATATAAAGTAGAAAAGGATAGATTTCGATCCTTGTAACAAACCAAATATGGCAAATAAGCTTCTTCCAACCAATTTGGAACGATTTCTAAGACTAATTAAATCTCCGCTTACGCGTTAATAGCGCGAATTATATCGCGCGTTAATTGTCCCAAATTGGTCAAAATGGCCAAAATGGCAATCTTTAAACCCTCATAACTTTACGAAAAATGATCACAGGTGAAATTTAAGCTCAAGACAACAAAAGCTTTCGAATGCTATAAAAAAACTGCGTGTCAAAAATGGCTAGTTAAGAAGTCGAAATTTGTCTGAAGAAAAAAAACCCACCCCGAGCACAATTAATCCGTTACTTTCGTATCGAAAGTCGGAACAAAAAGTTAAATATGAATTTAAAAAACAAATATATTGAGATTTTTTGTGAAAATCATCCCTCCATATGCCATATAAAGTACAACTTGATAGATTTCGTTCCTAGTAACAAACCAATTATGGAAAATAAGCTTCATTCAACCAATTTGAAACGATTTCTAAGACCGATTCAATCTCCGTTTACGCGCTAACCTCGCAAAATATATCGCACTTTAATTATTGCAAATTGACCAAAATTAATCTTTAAACCCCCATAATTTTACGAAAAACAATCACAGGTAATTTTTTTTTAATTTAAGCCCAGGACAACAATACCTTTCGAATGATAAAAAGTTCTGTCAGAAATCGCTAGCTTAAGAGTCGGGTTTTGTTTGATGAAAAAAACCACCCGAGCACATATATTCTGTTTCTTTCGTTAAGAAAGTCGGAATAAAAATCAAATGCAAATTTCCACGGTCATCTAAAATTTTCACTATAAAACTGTTGGAGTGAAAAACGTTTCAGAGTTTTCTAAAAAAATATGAAGCCTCAGATTTTGTAAAACAAACAGCTCTTTGAGCATTTGCGTTGGAATTTTCGCAATGAAACGTTTTTAGTAATTTTTCAAAAAAAGTTTTAAATTTTCAAAAAATTTTGTTTGAAAAAAACAAGACTGATCGTATCAGGGCGAAGTACTGATTGTTTCAATTGCCTTTTAGGGTCTTTGGATCAGTATTAACATGAAAAATTTAAATGAAATAAAATAGAATTGAATTAATAAAAAATTGAGATTTTTGTGAAAATATCTCCCCACACGCCATATTAAGTACAAAGTGATAAATTTTGATCGTATTAACAAACCAATTATGGAAAACAAGCTTCTTTCAATCAATTTGGAACGATTTTAATACGGATTAAATCTCTGCTTACGCGTTAATAGCGCGAAATTTATCGCTCGTCAATTGTCCCAAGTTGCCCAAAGTGTGTTTTTAAACCCCCATAACTTTTTTCGAATGTTATGGGGGTATAAAGACAATAGCTTTTGAACAATAGTTTTCGAATGATAAAAAGTTTTGTCAGAAACGGTTTGTTTAAAAGTCGAAATTTGTCTGCAGAAAAAAAAACCACCCGAGCACAAATTTTCCGTAACTTTTGTCACGAAAGTCTCGGAATAACAAGTTGTCAAAAAATAATACTCTCGATACTTCAACCAAGAGTTTGCAGCTGTGGCCTCAATTTCGATTGCACAAAGAGTTTTAGCGTTCAAAATAGGACGTTTTTATGATTGATTCACAAAGTGTTTCATAAACCTAGTTTTGAAAATACAACACATTTCAAATTCTTAACCCTATTGCGGGTTACTCTCAGGGTAAGTACAAGGGCTGAAAATCTACCCTTATTTTATTCAAAAATGACTGCTCAAATTTTTCACTTTTTAGAAAATTTTCGTGTCGTAACTACCTTCAAAATTTAGGATTTTCAAGTTAAATCCCAAGTATGTTGTGGTGCTGCCAAAGTGTTCCTAATAGTTGCAACTTCGTCTTCTAATTGAATTTTTGAGAAAACAAATATTTTCTGAGATACGACAGCTTTTAAGAAATTTTCCAATAGTTTTTCAGTAAAATGAAGATGTTTTTCAAAAAAAAATAAATCAATGTTAGCCTTTTTAGCTTTGCTTTGCCCGAGTAGATACAAATTTGTTCTTTTCAGGTTGAACAATCTGGTTGAAGCACGTAGGTTCGAGTCATGCACTATTCATTTCACTATCACTAGGATCTGTAGGCAGATTGTAAAAATTTTT